TTTTTCAGCCGCTTCAGCCGCTTGTCTTTTGAGATGGTCACGGCATGTCACGGCTAGGAGGGACTGGCTTTCGATCCACTTCTCACCAAATACGGGCCTTCACCTTTGTGCGTTCGAAATGGTCAACTCCTGTTGGCAAACAATTCAATCCCTTAGCAACAAATAACTAAGGTCGTTAAGGATTCCAGGTTCCCTCTCTCTCTGATTTAGCATTTCTCCACTTGCTGTTGAACAACATGTCCCTTCTGAGAACTGGGCTGCTAGAGAGCGTCACCCAGCCTAGAGCACCATCCAACTGCGCACGCGCATGGATTCGCTGTAGGCCCTGAGTTGCACGAAGCAGCGAAACACGAAAACCACAAGAATCATCACTACTAGTAATAAGAACGCTACTAGGGGCTCCTGGCATCGCTACTAGGAGCAAGGACGCTTCTAGGGCCGATCCAAGCGCCCATCGTGACACAATCGACGAACGTATGTGAAACATGTTCGCCTCAGACGAAGGCTCAGCTCGCGGGCCAGCCTGGACCTGACTCCGAGGAGTCGGAACTGCATCGCGAACGCAACTGCATAGCAACAAAAACGGATGGTGAAGTGGAGTGCACAAACAATTCCAGGGGCTCAGCAGCTCAAAATAGACGGATGGTGTAAGAATCAAAGAAGGCATGTGCGAAAGAACCATAATTAACCAAGAGGGGTTCAGATTTCATCTCTGTTGAAATCTCAACAAAACCACTTGTGCAAAACACAACATGTGTCAACAATACTGTTCAACAGCTGACAATGTTCCCAGATTCCCTAAAGATCTAGGAAACAAATCATTCGTGTAAGCGTGAGCTATCTTGCGTTCTGGCAAGCAAACTTGGAGTTTACTTCTCCCATAGTTACGGTAGTTTACTTTTCCCTTTACTTCTCTCGACGAAACTCTCTCTCGACACTCTTCTCTCGCCTCCAGGACTTCACCGACTTGGAGCGTCCGCATGGCGGGGCCGATGGCCAAACTCTCTGTGATGCCCACCTCTTTCACCACCTCGTAGACCACTCGAATGATCCTACAAGTCTCATTTCGCTTAAAAAAACCAAAAAAGGAAACACATTGGGAAGAAAACAACATGTGTAAGAAAAAATGAAACACTGCGCAACACCTGTTCGAAAGTGACTGTGATGATGCTAGCACGTGCTGTCGGCAAAGTGAAACTCTCCTGGCAAACTCCTCGCGAGTCACCTTGTTAGCTCCATCCTGCAATCAGCGTCGAGTCGTGCCACAAGCCGTGCCACGAGTGTCTGGACGATGTCTTTTGGACGCCATCTGCCCAAACCCAAACCGAACAACCTGATACAATATCTGATATATTCACCACAATGAGGAATTCGCATGCTGCAAGATCGAGATTCTGCAAGCTGCAAGGAGGACGTGGTGAAGTACAATGACTGTCATTTTTGATGTAGTGATGTCGTTTTCGGGGAGTGTTGTGATGCGTTCTGTTGTGATGTGTCATGCAGTGACAGGTCGATGGTGTGCAGAAATATTGACTTGCAATTCGTTGTCTTTTGAAACGTTATGTAAAGTGGCGATGCGGTTTGTGCTGTTGAATCTAACCCTCGTGCAGCCCGCATTAGCAGCTAGCAACCAAGATGGAACTCAAACACCAAAACTTCATGCCCCACATTTGACCCAGCCCTGCCATTTACAACACTCGCTAGCAAGCTAGCTGATGGGCGTGAGCGAACTACAAACACAGAGACCTGCCACAAACCCTCTTGTTGTCAACAATCAAAAATATTAAAGCATGAGAAACAAAGTGTGTGCTTCAGGCACACGCAGCCTAGCCTTGGTGGTCCGTTGTTTCCACTTGTCGGAAGTTTCTCATCCAAATTCCTTTGGTGAAACAACCCCTCACAATCTGAACCAATTTTGCCCGAAGTAACTTTTGCAAAAGGAAAACATCCAAGGATGGGTGGTAGCATAGCTGAGATGGAAAGTCAAAGGCGGCAGAAGGACTGAAGCCGGGGCAAAATGAAGCAAACCACTGGATTAAAATTTTGGAGAACATCCCAGGTGTCAACAGTTGGAGGGTGAGAATCATCAATGTTGAAGTGATTGGGAGCAAAAATGGGGCCCTTCTGCCTCCGTCTTTGTTCCCCTTAGGCCCTGAGCCCTCTATATAGCCCCTTCATGCTCTTTCCTTCCGTTCCGTTTTGTCCTCTTGACCTCAGAGCACACCACCGACTAGGTTTTGTGCGGCGCCGGGACTCTTTTCAGGCGTCCGGGAATCTTGTTTTCTCTGCGGGCGCAGAATGGTGTGTGTGTCCACCTCCACAAAGGCCGGGGCAGTAGCATCCCTCTTCCTCTTTGGCTAACCAAGGCTTCCGGCAGCACGTCAAAACAAGCCATGCCATCTCATTGGCATTTTTGATGCGCAAACGCATACAAACCCAGAGCTTCCAAGACACATCGGTGGCAAGGCCGCGATTGACCAAGCGCCGACGTTGGCCCTTTTCACCTTCTCCCGATTGAAAGCTGGTGGGGCAAGCTTTGGCATAGTGTTCTCAGCCTCTGGACTTGGCTCCCACATTTCATCCGCCATTTAATCGCTGTAGGCCAATTTTGGAGGAGGGTGATGAAGGTCACCAGTATGGTGTAGAGAGGGGCGCAAAGTCGCACAAATACACGCAGTGCGCCATAGCCTCCTTCCCCTGCTCGACGTCTTCTTGAAGAAAGGATTATCTCCATCAAAGCCCAAACTCTGCAGGTCCTCTGTGAAGATGACGCGCTTGCCCATCGTGGCGCGCGATTCGCCATCTCTCGATCATGTCGAGCTCGCAATCGAAGATGTCTGGAGCTCCATGCAATTGGCAAAGAAACCACTGGCTGCCAGGCGAAGATCGAGACTCTCCTCCCAAGGATAAGGAAGCGGCCAACCGATGAGTCCTGGTGGTGAGGATGCAACTTCGTGCTCTGCTCCTGGCAAGCTCTGCAATCCCGTCCTTAAGGGCACGTGTCCATTGTGACAATGTTGTTAGCAGGGGGTCTCGCGCAATAGCCTGACATTGGTGCCACGATCAGCTGGTTTGATTGGTGCGGCATCTTCCTTTGAAGGTGCGAAGTCACCTTGGCTTACATCGAGAAGTTGCAGATGTGAGGCTTGCCGCAGCTTCCAGGCCTCCATACCTTCATTCCTACACCATTCCAGGGCACACCATCCGCCACTCCAACAAGAGGTCTGTAAAGGAGAAAGGGTACTCAAAGCAGCTTTGCAACACAGCTGGCCACCCAAAGGCCAAGTAGATCATCCACACGCACATGGCGAGCATCAGGGCACCCAATAGGGCATGCCATGGCAGATGCCCAAAAAGACTGTTCTGCAAAGCCATCATTGTCACAACACTGGTGTTGGTGACAGGTCAAGGACTTAAACTTTGGTGTGGAACCCATGTAGAACCGTCTCTCACTGCTTGTGATGTTTTTTTGGAGCCTGGGGCTGGAGCCAACTTGGCCCATCACTTGAGACAACCTTTTGCCATCTGCCTGAAGAATGTTCGACCATTGCCCGGGACATATGTATATATATCAAAGTCGGTGGCAGTGGTAGGATCTTCCAGGAATGTCCCATTCAACGTGAGCTTATGCATATGTGTTCGCCAAATTTGCTTACGCAGCCTTACAAAGCCACGGGTTTCGCTTATTAATTGATGATATGTGCAGCTCTTTACTAGGTTTTGGACCTGCCTCATGTCAGGTCGCAAGGAACAACGTCGCCGAAACAAGGTTGCAAGGGTGAAAAACCTAGAATCTTGCTATTTAGGCTCATGTGTTGATGCGCTAGAAAGAGGGATTCCCGGATGCCCAGAAACCGTCCGTTTTCTGGTGTGAAGGGGTTCAGCCCCTCATGAAGAAAAGGGCTGCATTATGCAGTCATATGCAGTCAAACATGTGTGTCATCCTTGTGGGGCGATGCGTTCGTGCTTTTCGCTTCACCCTGCTACTAGGAACAAGAGGACGCTACTAGGAACAAGTGCCTCGCTACTAGTAACAAGTGCCTTACTACTAGTAACAAGAAGCTACTAGGACCTTTTCGCTTTACCTAACCATTCCGGGTGAAAAATAGAAACGGCGCTCTCCGTCACGCCTGGCTAGGAGAGCTCTTGCACGCTGAGAAGACCTTTGCCAACCTGAGCTCTCCACTGGGGCACATGATGCTGTCTTATCAGTATGAAGGGACACTTCCTAGTATTCCTTAATACACTTCTGGATTCAGTTCTGAAACTAATTATGTTTAAGGTCATTCATATGCCAGTCTGTAAGGCTTGCACTTCTCCATTTCCAGGTCACAGTTATTCTCTTTCAGGAAGGCATGTGCCTCGAGCAACGAAGATTTAGAGGCGAACACATGAGACATATAAGTGGAACACTACGTGGAACATAGTGGAACTATGATGAACTATCCACTCTAAGCCCAGGCGACCACAGAATGTCTGGCAAGACTTGTGGCGATAAAATGCCTTCTGGCGCACTTGTTACTAGTAGCTTCTTGTTACTACTAGTAAGGCACTTGTT